GGGGGATGGGCCACGCTACTGAAGGGACCGAGCAGGCAAGCCTGGCCTTATGGCCCCTCCGTAGACATGAAAAATTAATTTAATATCGTGTGTGACCCGATGGGCCACGGGTCACATATTAAACTGATCAGAACAGATACTACGCGTTATCTATTTTTAGCCAAAAGGCCGAGAAAGGTATTGGCCCCCGGTTTTGGTCATGCCTGTTCCTGTTCCTGCATTTTTGCTCCCAACGCCTACACCATTTCTTTCTGCTGGTTTTGGGTGAAGCACATCCCAAAGTCCGTTCCGAGGTTGAATTGTCTGAGGGATTCCCGGCCTCAGTTTTATTTGAGCTTTAATGAAATGCCCAAACGGCTCCCTATCGTGTTACCAAAAAAAAAAAAAAAAAAAAAAGGTGCGCGGGAAAGAAACTCGAGCTTCGAAGTCAAATTCGGCTCCGTGGGGAGATGAGAGACAACAAGACAAAACGAGATATCAAATTTGAAAACAGGTATTGGGCCTCCCTCCACTACGGAACCTTCCCTGCGCATCTCAACGGTTGATGGACCAGATACATTCGAACTGATCGAACATTTTTGAATGCATCTGGTCCGTTCAGTGTCCAGATACGAGACTTTGCGCAGTGGAGCGAGGCACGCGTTGAACAAAACGAAGAGAGGAGGTCGCTCAGCGTCCTATTCACATCACAAGCGCAAGGAGACAAAATAGGGGAAGAGAGGGGCGAGGAGGGGGGGGACAGGGAGGTGTGGTAACGTCGCTATAGATGGGGTAGTATAGTCTAGTCTGCTATAGACCAAGTATGGGGTAGTATCGTCTAGTCTGCTATAGACTACGCCATAGATGGGGTAGTATAGTCTAGTCTGCTATAGACTAAGTATGGGGTAGTATAGTCTAGTTTGCTATAGACCAAGTAAGCTAGTTTTTGTCCCCGGTATCAGAAGAAGCTGAGTGCGTAGTTGGTTGCTCTCAGAGAACATCGTGTCGTGTGAAAAAGTGTTGTCAGATACTAAGTTCAAATTAACTGCAGTAAATATTAACGGCAGTAAATATTAACTCCAGTCAGAATCTAGATGGCTAAGCCTTCGGTTCCGCTGGAGCTGAGAAGCTAAACTGGCTGATGCTGCCAGGATAACACCGGGTAGAATTGTGAGGTCCCTGGCCTCTGATTACCTTATTAGATTATGCAATGAAAGAATTGTCCCACCAAAAAAAAAAAAGAAAAAAAAAAAAGTGTTAGGCTCGGTAGGACAACGAGTGTACTGAAATACGCGAAAAGAAAAAGCCGGGGGGGGGGGGGAGAAGGAAGGGGAGAAGAAAAGGAGGAACGAGGATTTATCAAGCCGAAGATGTCAAGGTAATAGAGAGAGAGAGAGGGGAGGGGGGGTAATCCCGTCCAAAGGCAGAGAACCAATCACAGAAGTGTTGTACGGAAGGACGTCTCCACTCTCACCTCGGCCAGTGGAAAAGGATGAATCGAAATTGTTTTTGAAAACAAAAGCCCAGGATGAGGAAAACCTCAATAAACAGACGAGTTCCATAAACAGACGAGTAGAGGAGGAGAAAGGGAAAAAAGGAGATCGACCTCAGGTCTGTATCTTTTTTTTTAACAGCTCAGGGGTGCACCGACTACTGAGCTAGGGCAGTTGGTTGGTCCAACGGGCCTAGCTCAGTTGGTACACCCCTGAACTGTCGAAATACAGTTCTAGTGGAGTTCAAATTCCACTAGAAGCAGATGAGTAAAATCTATCAGAGTTCTCAATGACCTAGGGCCAGTCAAGTCAAAAATAAGGGAGGGAAAAAACAAGGGAGGAAAAAAACGGGGGGGGGGGGGGGGGCGAGAACAAGAGGAGAAAAAGGAGAGGGAGTGAGTGGGAAGGAAACGGAGTAGAAAGGAGCAAAAAATAAGATGAAAGAATAAAAGAAGAGAGTAAAAAAAAAACGAGAGTAAAAAAAAAGAGAGTAAAAAAAAAAGAGAGTAGAAGGAGAACAAGGAGAGGGATTATAATCTCATTAAATCATTATACACCGTTAGTGGTAATTTGGCTTTTTGGCCTGTGGCCTTTTTTTTTTTTGCGCTCCTTTCCACTCCTTTGGAAGTTCTGTGTATTTTACTTCTTAGAGGAAAAGGAAGACGAGTAAGGAGCGCAAAAAAAAAAAAAAAGAAGGAAGAAGAGAAACAAAGAGAGAAAAGGAAGAAGTGGAAGAAGACATAAAAACAAAACAGAAAGCAAGAGAGAGACCAACCAAGAGGAGAAAGACGAGATATGGAGGAGCACTCCCCTCAGAGCTACATCCATATCCATTTCTCACATCTTTTCGATTAGGAAAAAAAAAACAAAAAAACAAAGAACAGAAAAAGTTAAAAGCTGTACATAGCTCTATCATTTATATATCGTCACAAACAGAACTGCCCGGTAAACCGTAGGCAGAGAGAGAGAAGAGGACAACAAACGAGGGGCTGTGACAAACTGTTTCGTC